CACAGGCCCCTGTCCTTCAGGAGGGGGCCTCCCAATTCATGATTGTCCTTTCTGGCCAGCACTTACAGCTCCGGGTCAATTAGGAACCCTGTCACCATCCACAAAGCAACGGGCAGGAGTCATCTGGGGGAAGTAACTGCTGGATCAATAGGGCAAGGCTCCTGGAAAATATTAATGTCCCTCAGACACACTGAATGAGTAACTGGGCAGTCGTTTCAGACGTAGCCAGCATGAGGGAGGCCCAGGCTTCACTGAAGCTCAGAAGACAAGAAGCGCTATCTGGAGCTCAAGCAAATGTCACCCATTCTGCACAGGGGAGAACACCGCACCCTTTAGGTTATGCCAAACCCTTGCCTGGAGGGTCAGGGCTAGGTTCCCGGGAGCAGGCGCTGCTGGTAGCCATCCGGTTGGGGCGGAGCACTCATTCCTCAGCAGGGGCTCTTCCGGCCCCTCTGAAGGCTGGGTCCACACCAAGCCCAGGTGAGAACGCGCTCTGGCTCTCAGATTCCCACCCAGAAGCAGGTCCCACCATCTCCCCCTTTTCCTTAGGCCCCAAGGAACCTCTTCTAATACCCACGCAGCACCTTAGCTCCTGGCTCCACTCCACCTGGCCCCTGAGGAAGAACCATGTCTTCAGAGCCCACCCTGTCCAGGCAGCACCCCACCCCCCGCCTTTTCCTGCCCAGCACAGAGTGAGGTCAGATGGCTACTTTTGGCTCCTTCACTGTTGGCTCCCACTGGGATGTAAGCTCCATAGGAGGGGACCTCGTCCTGTTCCCAGCTCCAACCCCGCAAGTCAGGTGGGGTGCCTGGCACACAGTGGGCTTTTCTCTGGGCTTTCTTACCTTAGCCCCACCCTCCTTCTGGGCCCTGTTCTCCCTGAACACACCAAGATCCCAGCAAGTGGGGGTGAATGTAACCAGCAGTAAATGGTCCTGGAGCCCTTCAAAGAACTTCTCAGAGCTGCCCTGGAGGAGAAGACTCAACGTCAGCTATCTGGGTCCCAGCCTCCCTCTGACCTTCTGCTTTTCAATATCAGGCTAAGACCATGGTTCACAACTGGGGGCAATTTTGCCCCTTGCCCCATCCCAGGACAGTTGTCAACGTCTGGAGACATTTTTGGTTGTCACACATTGGGACAGGGGAGCTACTGGTATCTAATGGGTGGAGGCCACTGAAACCTCAATGCACAGGATAGGCCCCCACAGACCCAGTTCAGCCAGATTTGCCACCTGTCAGCCCTGTGACTTTGGGCAAGTACTTCACCTTTTCTTTTTTAGTAAAATGGGAATAGCATTCCTACTTCATAGCATTCTGTCTGGCAAGCAGTAAGTCCTCAATAAATATTAGCTACTATTAAAAAAAAAAAGATGTGAAGAAATAAATTAAAGCCCAGCTGGGCACACAGGGCTGCAACCCCTGTTATCTGTCACACTCTTGGGGCGCCTCTGTGTTGGGTGTGGCCCCAGGAAACCAACCGAGAGGCTGAGCGGCTGCCACATGTCCCAGAGACCGCTGCTCACACTCAGGCATCCAAATGTTTGGGTTGTTTGCTTGGAAAGAAATGATGATTCAATTTCCATTCCCCTCCATCTGGGAGGTGCCAGAGGGCGGGAGGGAGAGGGGGCAGAAGAGTCAGCATCTCAGTTTTAAGGACTTAAGTTTGTGATTCAGGAGGAAATGAGTTTGAAGGGAGGGGAGCAGCGTGACAGGAACAGAAAAGTAACTGAAATCACTTGGGATTTCCTGGTTAATGCCTCTGCTCACTGCTGGCGCTACACATACACATGCACGTGCGCACACGCAGCCTGAGTGTGCAGAGCTCAGGAGACGGGGAAGGGAGCAGGCCCAGTCTAAAGAGGGTGTGGGACCACCGAAAGGGAGAGGAGCCACCGCCTTTGGGGATGGTGACTCCGGTCCCAGAGGGGCAACGGGAGCCACTGGTCAGCATACCAAGAATCAGCCTGGAGACTGAGAGCCTCGTTGGAGCCCCCTGCCCTTCTCCCACGTGCCACAGGCTGCCCTTCCACACCCCACAGGCTGGAAAGGGCATGGGTTCCTAGGCCACTCACCCCACACCCTTCCTTCTTCCACACCCCACAGCTGGAAAGGGCATGGGTTCCTAGGCCACTCAGACCGGAAGTTGAAACCCCAGTGGCTGAGGTCGGACAAGCTACTCAACCTCTTTGAGCCTTTGTTCCCTCGAAAGTGAAGCAGGGTCACACTACCTTGTGCACAGGGCACGTGGCCCAGCCTGGCACGCAGCAGGTGCTTGGAACCTGCTGGTCTTCTCCCTCCTGGCCGCCCTTGGCACTCACCTTAACCTCACCACACCTGCAGAACAGGCAGTGTGGGGCGGGGAAGCAGGCGGCCTGAGGGGTGGAGAGGGGGCACTCGGGGCAGAGGCTGCGCACGGTGATGTCTCCCGTGCTCCAGGGGTCTCTTCATTCCCTCCCTCTTCTTAGACCCTCATGCCCTGGGATGGAGGACACACAGAAGCCCCATGCTAGAGGGGAGGAAGCAGAGCTGGAGGCAGGAGAGAAACTTGCTTAGGGCCACGGAGTGGCCTCCGTCTCCCACGTCCTGTCCTGATGTCCTCTAGATGGTGAGAGTGCCCACCAGGCTCTTTGAACCAGAGCTGGGACCACACTACCAAGCTGGAGCGCACGCAGGGGAACAAACGTTAGGCTGTGAGCGGCAGGGTCTTATCCACCACAGGGTTTCTGTTGCGGGCAGGGTTCCTCGTGGTTGAGAGTGTCAGACGGGCCCTGCGTCCGTAATCCTGGCTCCGCCCATGGCTGTCATTTATGTTCTCTGTGCCTCAGTTTCCCACCTGTAGAATGGGGATGCTGACAACAGGACCCACATCAAAGGGCTGTTGGGAGACCTAAATGCACGTGCAAGGAAAGCACTCAAGTCCCTGGCACAAATTCGGCACTCAGTCAGTACCGCGTATTAGTATAATGAGTATTTGTTAAATGAATGAGTGAAGGGGACAGAACACTGAAATTAGAACCATCCCCTCCCCCACAAAACCTACTCCTCAGGGTTCCCATGCAGAAGGAGAAGAGCACCTCTTCTGCAAGAGGCCTCCAGAGGGAGGGCTTCTCAAACGTAAGCAGATGTCAGTCAGCAAACGCTTTCCTATAAAGGGCCAGAGAGTAAATATTTTAGGCTTTGCCTTACCGGGCCTCAATCTCAACTGCTCAGCTCTGTGGGTGAGACTACATGTAAATAATGGGTTGTGGTTATGTTCCAATAAAACTTTATTTGCAAAAGCAGACTGCGGAGGTTCAGCAGCCCCTCCCTCCTTCAAAATGCTCCTCCCTTCTGCTGGTAGGGGTTGAGGGTGGCATCTCTTCTTGTCCCCCATTCATTCCTGAGCTACAGCTGCTGACTCAATTCGAGGCTCCCCAGGGGAGGGGCCCAGCCAGGGCTGGGCCGGGGCTGTGACAGTCTCCGGCTAGACAGGCGGCCAGGCGCAGCTGCCGAGGTAGGAAAAACAGGAACCAGCCCTCTGGGCCACCGTCTCTCTGAAACTGAAGCTCAGCAACAAAAAAAGGACAAGAAAAGCAGGTGCTAGAGCTAGAGCAGAAGCAGCATGCTCCTCAGTGTCCTTGTGGTGTCCCCCAAGGCCCAATGCCGCGGCCACAGGGTACCCGGAGGAGCCCAGGGCTGCAGGGCCTCACCGCCCCCTCCCGGTGTGGGAGGCGGTAGGCTGCCACTGCTCTCTGGGCCTCCTCGTGCACAAGTCCCAAATGGGGACACCACCACCTCCCTGGCCTCGCACCTGACACATTTTTTAAAAAAGAAAACAAAAGGCCCAAGGTGTAAAGTCCAAGTATGGTATCATGGGCAAGAATGGCCTGTTTGAAAAATGTTAAATTAAAAGAATGAATGAAGTGAAATGTAGCAAAATAAAGCATACCAAAAATAAAATCCGGGCTTCAAAGGGCTCTAGCCAGCACAGCAGAAACTGCTCTGTGACCTGACCCCAGTTCTCTCGCCCGTGAGGGAGAGGTAACCGACACCTATTTGGCTGCCCGCTGCCCCAGGGAGGCTCCAAGTGAGGCAAGGTGTGTCCTGAGCACATGGAGGCCCTGGCCGGCCACGAATGTCCTCGGAGCCCCAGACTGGTGCCTGCGGAGCGCGGTAATGACGCTGACGCCGAGGAGGAAGCTGCTGGGGCACCAAGTCCCTGCTGCAGAGGCACGCAGGGAACCCCAGCCCTGACCGGGGAGTCTCAGGACTGGTGGTGGCCTTCCCAGCATGCAGGACTGACTCCTGGGAAACTGCCAAAGAGCCACCGTTGCCTGCCACATGTCCTCCTGATGCTGTGGCTTCTCCCTCCCTCGCCACCCACGCCGCTGTCCCATCCCACCCAGGGAAGAAGCACCCACTGTGCCCTTCAGGCAGCGAGGGCCAGATCCGGGAGGGGTCCAGCGCCATGGTTCCTCGGCCTGGGGTAGGCGAGCATTCCCAGGGCCTGCCAGTCAACAGACGCACTGGCCCATGGCCTCGCCTCTTCTGCCACCCCATCAGCAGAGACATTGGCATCCCCGGAACGATGCCAGGCCTTCATTTTCGCCACACGTCCTTTCACTTCTCACTGCCCCTTGAAAGCTGCAATGAGCAGGAATCAACTTCCCCATTTCATTTTTGGGGAGACTGAGGCTCAGGGAAGCAAAATGACTTTACCCAGCACTTGAGGTGACAGTGAACAATACAGACGGGCACCTGCCACCCAGCTCACTGTCCTTCGCGCTCTCCCTTCTAAAGGGCCTCAGCTCTCCGCCGAAGCACATGCGGGCTTTATTGCTCCTGAAGCCTGGCCCTTCCCCGCTCCTGAACAGGTCGGTCTGACAACATGTGAACAAGTTGGCCCCACTGATATCGTACGCACACAGAGAAGAGGGAGACCAGACTAAACGCCGCCAACATCAGGGGCACCCAGCCCCGAGAAAAGCTTCCATGTCCCCACTTGGCTGCCAGTGACCTACCCCTTCTTCAGGTTTGTCACGTAAGCGCTCTGGAGGGCAGCTTCCAGGAAGTAGGTGAGCTCGTAGTCAACGTGGTGAGAGACTTTCAGATGCCGCGATGTGGTATTATTTGTGATCTGGAAAGAGAACAGGAAGCCACTGTCTCAAAGTTCTGCGGCAGAGGGGCTGGGCTGAGGGTCAGCCCAGGCACAGACGGCCTCATGGACCATCCCAGGTCCCCAGCCATCCCAGGGGAACGTGGTGCAATTCTTGGATCAAAACCATCCTAACTTGCTGTAATTTAAAACATGTCTATAGTACTCCCTCCCAATCCAAATGCCGGTTTTGTTGGAATTTTATAGATGAGGTAACTGAAACTCAGAAAAGGCCTAAAGTCAGAACGCTGGCACGCGCCCCTGCTCCAGACCCAAGTCTGGCCGGCTGCAGATCCAGGCTCCCTCCACTTCTTATGGGTCCCTCCATCCAACACACAGCTGAGCGCCAGCACGTGCCGGGCACCAGGGTCCCTGTTGTGTAATCATGAAACATCAAACCGGCCAAAGGGCAGGTACTCCAGGTTCTAGAAAAGCTGAGGAACAATTATGGTATTAACTGAGCTGTCCTTAAGCCTCAGCTTTAAGAGGGTCACCCAGCCGGATCAGCCCGCCTTCACTGATCTAAGAAAAGTTCACTTCCCTTCCCTGATCTAAGAAAAAAAATTGATGAGCCAGCCACCTTATTATTCAGAAGTCAGAGCAGACGTAAGAGATGTTCTCAGCCCCTCAGCGGCTGGGGCTGGGTCTTGGGAGGAACACACAGCATTTCTGAGAACATACAGGGTTCTCTGGCTTGCCCTCCCTCAACCCAACATAACCAGCCATCGGAGTCAACAGGTCTGCCCTCTGCCACCAGGCACTGATTCCAGGCCTGGGCACCATTACAGCTCATCACCTTAGCCCCTTCTAAAAGTCCAAAGCTTCAGCTGCTGGCTGAATGGGAGACTTTGATCTTTTTCATGAAAGTCTCTTCCAAACCCCATTCAGTTCAAATGCGAAGGGCACCTAAAACATTGTTGGCCAGCAGTGATCCATGTGACTTCAGCAGAGGTCAACTTGACCCTGTCAGGGCGCCACCCAGACCTCTGTCAGGAGTCCTGTTTTTGCTGAGCTCCTCCGTCTCTGCTCCTTTCCTCCTGAAGTCCAGTCAAGGACAGCAACCAAGGTCGGTGACTCTCAGTAGGGGGATGATTTTGATTTGCCCTCTAAGGACATGGGGCAGTATCTGAAGACATTTTTGGTTGTCGAAAACAAAAATGGCGGCTGGCATCCTGTGGGTATAGGCCAGCAATGCTGCTGAACATTTAATAAAATGCAGCCCCACAGGCAAGAATTGTCTGGCCCCAAACGTCAGGAGTGCTGAGGCTGAGAAACCCTACTCTAGGAGAACTGGCCTGGCCGGAGGAAGACTCCTCCAAAAAGCCCTGTCACAAAAAGGCAATGGGTTGACATTTTGATGTTTGCCAAAGTAAGTGAGTGAGGTTCAAATGTCTGCTGGGCTCCAGGGCGCTCAGTTCATAATCACCCCGCTGCAGGACACAATCCTCACCTATTCCGCCCTCGCACCTGTCTGCCAACAGCTCTTACACATCTATTAAAGAGAATGTCTAAGCACCACCCCCAAATTCTCCCCCACAAGTGGCCAGAGCCACACTCCCAGGGTCTGAATCCTGCCGATGCCACGTATTAACTGTCTGAACTGCAAGAAGCTATTTAATTCCTCTCCAGCCCGAGTTTTCTCGGTGTGGGAATGAGTACACTACAAATTCCGTCCAGCCTCCTTGTGGGGGTTAGATTAGAGAAGGACTGGAAAGTATTCAGATAGCGTCTGACAAAAAAGCAGGGGCTCGGTGTCTGTTAGCAGGATCTTTGTTGAACATGCCTGCTTCATGTATAGTGCATGGCAATACATGAAGAGCCGCCCAGAAGCGGGGAACTGGGGGAGCGTCACAGCACACCGCTAACACCTAGCACTGCCATCCCAGACGTTCATACAGGCCCCTCAGGGGGAGCTGGGGAATGAGGGGGCCTGAGAACTTCCAGGCTCCTGTCAGCCTCTGAAAGGCTTGGGGAATGAGCCCCAGACCTCGCTTCCCATAGGGGAGCCAGCAGGGAGCTTCCAGGGCTCCCCAGAACAAGGAAGGGTCTACAGGCCTCGCCTGGCTGCACCTGTTCCAAGGGGAGCGTGGTGAGCAAATGGTCTGATCTCTCCAAACCTCACCAGGGATGAGCAGAAGAGCTACTTCAGAGACGCTGTGAGGAGTCAACAAGTGAACAGACACAAACAGAGCTGTCACATTTGGTTGTACAAGTGGAGCTCACCAAGGAGGTTCCCAGCCGCTCAGAGATGATGTGGACTCATCTACTTATTAAAACTATATATCCTGGCAGTAAAGAGTCACATTCCAACAGAATCAGCCCGTTATGAGTTCTCCAATAGATGAGGTAGCATATCTTTGGAGGGGTACAGGGTGCCTTTTTCTTACTTGCACGAGGCTGACCTATGGTCTTAGTGGGGGCCTTGGATATAGGTTCTCAATAGAGGGCAGCTATGAACACGGAGCTGTAGTCCCGGCTCACCTTCTCCAGATCCTGTAGGAACACCTGAGCGATCCAGGAGGCCCTCTCGAAGCAGGTGATCACTTCCTCCTCCCTCTCAGTCAGGCGGTGGCGGGAAGCGATGGAATTGGGTAGGCGTTCCAGGGAGAGGCCTGCGGGAGGAGGAGATCCCCTCAGACCTGCCCTGCTCAGGCCCCCCTCGGGCCCAGGGTGGGCTCAACGGAGGAGACCTACGCTCCAGAGCAGCCAGGAGGAGGAGGAGGTCCACAGAGGGGAATGAGGAGGCTAAGCGATGGTGATATTAGCAGCAGCTGGAATCAAGTAGCAGGCAGACAGGAGGCACCCCTGCCCCACATGGGGAACCACACTGTGCCACCCCCACATCCAACTCCTGCCTATGCATCCAGACCAACCTATCCAGGAACCATTTCCCGACCCTCCTTCCAGTTGCTGGAAGAAATCATCCACCCCCCAGGCGCTCACTAGGTCTGCATTGTGGAGCCAGTAGTTACGCCCAGCTCTTCTCTCCCCCAGTAGCTAAAAGCTCCCTGTGGACAAAATGTGGTTCATTTTGGACCTCCGCAATCCCTAGCGCATGGCAGACGCTTGAGTTACACAGCATTTTACATGCACCTCTCCCCTGGAACCAGCTGCTACCTCGCCTAAGTGATCTGTGCCTTATCTGCCTAGAGTGGGTGGACATCTGCTGTTTGTGCCTCCCTGGCAACCACTTCCCATTCTTTCAGCAACAGCACCTCACTTTCCCTTTGAGCACCCTTCCCGCAGTCTCAGCCTGTATGGTTCTAGGGTGATGGTGCCCCCACTCCACCTCCAGAGCTGCATGTGCGCCTGCATCGGGCCACAGTCAGTGGCTGAGCAGGAGCACACGGCCTGGTCTGAGCAAAGAGTGAGCCCATCCTGGAGATTTTCCTCTTTCCACTGGGCCTGGGAGGCTGGTAAGAGGTCAGCCTGGAAGTGTCAGGGAAAGCCCGTCTTCCAATGAAGCTACATGACGCGCATGCAGTCAACACGACTGAACCGCACACTTGACAGTGGTAGAGATGGTGCACTTCATGGTACGTGTTCTTTACCACAATCAAGTATCTTTTAAAAACTAAAGTAAAAGCAGAGCTCTAAAGCAGAAAGACAAACAAAACAGAACAAAACAAAAAGCAACCCAAAACAAAGCAAAAAAAAACTGTAGGAAGCCACGAAGGGGAAACATTGTTATACTCCCTAGAAGTGAATGTTGTAAAGGAAACAACTGTATTTGTAGGAGTGTTTTTAAGACAGGAAAGAATGAATAATCTTAGTCATGGAAAAAAAAATCAAAGAAGTCTACACAGAGCACAGATGAGATACGGATAGAATGGAAAAGGGCAGATTCTTAAAGACGCTTTTTGAACATCTTCCCTGAAGCTCTATCCCCTGAAACTTTCTAGTACAGGTGACAATAAACCCTCCCCCCAACCACTCTTTTTTGGGTCAAAGCCATTTTAAATTGTGTTTCTGTCGCGTGCAACTCACACAGACCTGACTGGAGGGTGCTGTCCTAGACTGTCAGCTCCCAATGCGCAGAGTCCAGGACTCTCATCTTTGTGCCCCAGACAGCACTTGACATGCACTGGGTGCTCGGGATGAAGTGCCCCAAGAAACTGTAAGAAGAGAATCCTCACTCTCTCCTGCCCTACAACCGCAGCATACACCTTGTAATCGAGCCCGTAACATGTCTCCCCTCCCCTCCTTTCTCTTACTGCCTTGTTTCAGGCTTCATCTCCTAAGAGGATGAGCACATCAGCCCCCCAGCTGGCCTCCCGGCCTCCAGTCTCACCATCATCCCCCTGCACATGGCACCCAGGGCGGTGCTGCCGAATCTCCACCCCTTACAACCTTCCTGGAGTGTCCACGGCTACAGGGCAAGGCCCAGACTCCTAACGCTCGGAGGACTCCTACTAGGCCCTCCAGGACCCAACCCCATGACCTCTCCAGCCTTGTTTCTCACCCTGTGCTGTAGATCCAGTGTTTGTGCCTCCCCGCCTCCTCCCTGAAATCTTATGTTGAAGACTGAACACCCAATGTGGTGGTATTAGGAGGTGGGGCCTTTGGGAGGTGATTATGTAGGTCCTGAGGGTGGATCCCTCATTAGTGGGATTAGTGCCCTTCTTAAAAAGGCCCCACAGAGCTCCCTCCCTCTCTCTACCACGTGAGACCACAACAAGAGGGTGGCAGCCTACAGCAAGGGGGCTTGCTCTTCCCAGCAGCCACCATGCTAGTGCATTGATCTTGGACTTCCAGCCTCCAGAACTGTGAGAAATCAATGTCTGTTGTATATAAGCCCCCCGGGCTGTGGCCCTTTGTTATAGCAGCCCGAGTTGTCTAATATACTGTAACTGCCACATTCATACCTAACCTCCTGCGCCCAGCTGCAGACCCTGCTCCAGTTGTCTGTGCTGCCTAGAATGCACCCTCTCCCCGCCGAGTCCACCCCAAATTACCTCCCCCTGCCCTCTGCCCCACTGAGTCTCTTCTATGGGGAACCTCCCAAAATAACCCTGGCATAACTCACCACTCCCTTCTTGGGCCCCAGTCTATACTTTGCATATACCTACCCCACGATTTCTTAAGACTTATTTGATCACACGTTTGCCCAGCCAGACTGCAGACTCCCAGTAGGCACCGACCTTATCGCATTCACCCTTCCACTAGCTGGCGCACAGTAGGCACTCAGCAAGTACCAGCTGGCTGAAGAAAGAGCAAGCCTGATCATGTCTGACAGCACAAAGTGCTCTGCCAATATAAGGTGAGGGATTATCGTTTTCTTGGCTACATCCCAACTCATACAGATTCAGTGACCTTGCCCTCTGCCAGGCTGGGGTGTGAACAGGTCCGAAGGCCAGGGTGCCTTGGCCTGGGTGGAGGCAGGTGCAGAACGTGGAAGCCCTAGTTCAGCACAAAGACTCAGTTACCCATGTCACTGGGTGTCAATGTGCTTCCTGCCAGATGACTCATGACTAACTCAGCTCCCCACTGGAGAGGACTAAAGGGGGAGGAGAAATAGAGGGAGTACTGGAGGCGACTCAGGAAGAAGGCAGGCAAAGGCAGGCCCCACTGCTCACTGCCGGTGCTGGCCCAGCCCCTGCTCCCCAGTCATGTGGCCTGTCCACCCCACAGGAAGGTGGGACAATCATACATGCTCTTCAGAGGCCTAGCCTGGGAGACCAACTGCCGACGGCAGGACACTGTCACCTCCAGAAGACAGTGTGAATCTGATTAAACACGGCCACCCTGTCCCCCTCCTCTGAGCCCAGAGCTGGGAAGGACGCTGCCAGCTGCCTGGCAGGTTCGGCTGCCGGTCCCAAGCCTCTCCAGTCAAGTGGCCATTGCAAAGCAGGGAATTTAGTGACATCTGTCTGGGGGGGCCTCCCATTCCCTCTTCACTTGTTCCCTCTGCCCCTAGCAGGGTCCTGCCCACCGTGCTCTTTTGAGGATTCTAAGTCCCATCCTCCTTGAAAGCTCCCAGCAAAACCACCTCCTCTCCGTGACCTTACGCCCCCCAACCTGGAACGAGCAGAATGTTTTTGGCTGCGTGTCCTTTGGTATGCCTTTGTCCTACCTTGCCCAATCCTCTCTGCCCACTTCTGATTATCTTTGCACCAGTGGGAGGAGGGCCCAGAATTGAGTGAGTAGAAAGGAGCACAGATGAACATACATATACGGTCATGCTCTCCAGCCCAGTGGGTTTCTCCCTCTCCATTTAAAAACCAGTTCTTGCAGAATTCATAAGCAAATTGTATGTTTATACAATGGAATACTACTCAGAGGTAAAAGGACAAACTCCTGATATACATACAATATAGATGAATCTCTCAGAAATTGTGCAGAAGTCAGATATCAAAAAGTACCTGCTGTAATATTTCAGTTAAATGATATTCCAAAAAGGGCAAAATTAATCTGTATTAATAGAAATTGACCAATCACTGCCGGAGGTGGGGGCGGGAAGAGGATCAGTTGGAAGGGGCCTGAGGGAACTTCCTGGGGTGATGGAACAAGCCTTGTCTTTACTGGGCTGTTGGTTACAGGGGTGCTTACACTTGTCCCACTCATCAAATTATACCCTTAAGATCTGTGTACCTTACAGTGTGACAAGTTATCTAAAATGAATGGATACTATCCCTTTTTAAAAGGAAGCAGTTTTGATTCTGGAGAACTGAAAGAAGGCCATTGAGGTGGTCTTCTCTAAAGTAGTTTCCAACACGCGTATACGACCAAAAACTTCCTGGAGCTCGCAATGGCTTCTCCTGATCAGAGTCACGGTTCAGGCACCCAGTTCCACCCAAAACAAAGGGGCTTCTTTACCTTCTGTCTGCTCTTTGATTTATATGAAGGTCCGTTTTCCTATCTACAAACATCTGATCAGAAATATGCTGGGGACTCCAACCCTTGGGTTCCCCTGCGCCCTCTGCCCTTGAGTGTTCCCGCCCAAGTGGCCAGACTCCAACCCTGGATCCTGGTGGAGGCGGATGCTCCTGAGCCCGGCCCTACGAGGGCCCCAGTGGTCATAACACAGCCTTGCCGATCAGGCAGGAGGCCAGGGCTGCCAAGAAGTGCCAGGCACTGCCTCACGATTCCCACTGGCAGAGGTACCTTTCTATGAAAACACCCAACTCTGTAAGCCAAGGGAGGGTCCCTTTCAAGAGAAGCGCTTGCTTTCTCATAAACTCCAAACTTTTGGTTTAGAGGCAAGCTGATCCTGGAACAGTCCGGGGCTCAACACCCAGGCTGGTGCCAGCCTCCTCGGTCTAGGATGACTCACCACATCCCAGACGGCTGCCCTTCCAAGAAGCCCCACCCTATGAGCCCTGGATGCAGAGGTGGAGAGCACAATGCTTCTGCTGCAATGGAACTTTCCATACGGTGGACCCCCTCCTTCTCACCTACCCAGCTGATCCAGGAGGAGCACGGGGCACCCACAGAGGGCTAATCCCAGAGTTGGGAATCCCAGGTTGGGGTGGGATGGGGAGGGAGAAATGCAAATCGGTGTTTCAGCCCCTAGGGAGGAAGCCTTGAAGCCAGGTAGGGAAGAACCCTCATAAATCACATGCAAAAGTTGGCAACTGTGGGAATGTAAAATGGTTCAGCCTCTGTGGAAAAC